TTAAAGGCTTTCAAAGAGCGACTGACAAATTCATAACAGAAAGTGGAAAATGTAATCAAATATGTCGGTGCTAGATATGGCAAGAAATGTAAACATTTTTTTTCGATTTCTCTGAAACGGAGCAAAAACGAGCATATGTCTATAGGACTTTTTTTCTTAGTTTTTTACTCCTCTACACGCTCCCGAAGTTTTGCCATTTAATTTGGAAACACCCTGTATATACATGCCCAATATTTTCCTGATATTACTCCAGACATCAAATATATAATATATCTTCTAAAGATCAATATCGTGCACTGAAAAAAAAGAATGGCTGCTGTAGCAAATTAGATTTGCCAGGACATGATCCTGAACAACATTCAAGACATTTTAGCCGTCAGTCGGACAACTTGCGGAGTTACCCTATATATAGTCCGTTTAATTATTTTTGTGGTCAATATAATAATAAACATATCTTAAAAGGGAGCAAATGGATCAATTAAAAAAAAGGCCACTTAACTATTCTGGCATCGTGCGTCAAGTACGCAAAATGATTTCAAAGAGATTAATGAACATTGATCTCTTAAAAATGAATAAAAGAATCTCTGCATCTGTTTTGTCTTGCTTCTATCCATTAATTTCTACTTCCCTTACATGCTTGTACAAACGAGCAGGTTGTATTATAAACGGAAGGCTCTGATGTGTTTTGTTGTTGGAAGATATAATTTGAATAATATTCTTTCATCTTACGAAGAACAATAATAATCATTGACGTGTAACAAAAAAAAGGCGTTTGTTTTCGAATTATTTTCGCTTACGAGCAAGCGAATTCCGTGTAAATAATTTCGTCAATTCTGTCAAAAAGGGAAAATGTAATGTTTCGATTGATGTGTCGCTGAGAAATTTGATGTCACGAAGCATCAGATGAAACTGATAAGTAGGAAAGTAGTTTGCAGAGACATGAGTTGCACCGTTTTTTTTTTGCTTTTACGAGACCAAGGCGATATTGAAAATGTCAGGCATTCGATCGATCCATGTTATTTCATTTGTCTGGTTCGCGTACTTTTATGCACACAAAAGCAGAAAACGGAAAATTAATAACTCACGCATACGATAAAATTATTCAATGTGTGAAAAACGAAGACAATTAAATACACAGTAAATAATAATTCTGCCGCTTTAAACAATTATCGTGAAAAACGGGTAATTACTGTAAGCTCTGAACACAGTATTATCTACGGTTTGTCGTATTTTCTTCGGTAAACTTTGCGCTGCAACTTTCCACTCATGCTACGCTACTCTTTCGAGCACATAATTGTTAAGAATTACAGTGCAAGAAGCATCTGCGAATTTGCTTTCTCGAATTTAAATAAACTCTAATTCTCTTAAATGTACTGCAGAGATATAAATGACTATGCCTCATAATAATTATGTATTTTACTAACTGCAATTTTGCTTCTTCTTATTATATTCATTAGCAAAAACATAATTCAGATTCTCTCAGATGTATTGTTGAAGTAATAGTATGGTTCTCGTAAAAATCCTCAGTGAATCATGTCCATCGTAATATTATATTTAGCCCTAGCGATTATTTTTCAACAATCATTTGATTCGACAAAGACCCTCGCATCTCGTTGCGATAAGGATTTCATAGTTCTACATCTGACAATATCTCGTTAGATTAAAGAAATAAAGTTACAAGGCAACCGAACATCACATAGTATAAAAAAAGTACTACACTGTGAAATTTGACCGACTTTCACTGTAAAAAGTACAGTGTTTAAAATGTTTCCATTTAAAACATCTTTGCAAAACAAAAGTCTAATAATAAAAGATACTTCAATTTTAAATGTTTTAGTGTTTTAAATCCAAACACCTAGTGTTTTGTTTATTGTGAAAAGTTTAAAACTTAAACATCTTTAAGCGTTTAAAAAAGGGAGACAAAAATAAAACATTTTTATATCTTAAAATTAAACACTTCTTTTATGAGTGTTGGAATTTCTCTGACTCTGCAATGATTATACATATTATGATTCGAATGATGGAGCCCTCTACTCTTGTTACATCAATAGCCACGCAAAGATAAAAGAAATGTTAGTTGGTTGTCAAAGTAGGCTAAGTAATAATCGTTGACTGTATCGGGATATAATCTATTGTTGGTAAGTCTCGTAACAATTCAATCATTTACATTTTCGGATGCAATTTGTTCGAGAATCGCACACTTCAAATTACTCTCACAAGTCACACGTGTACATTTGTTCTTTATATATAATACTTGCAATCTTAAGGAAAGAGAATCGACTAGTTGTAAACAAGTAGCTACACAGATAATGTAACGCTTTATCATATTCAGGTTTCCTTGTTACGTTTCTCAATTTAATTTAATTGATAGTAAGATCAGCACAATTCGCAGCTGAACGAATCGAGAGTCTGTTCATCATCAATTTAATTAAAATGACAAAGCGGAAACAACACGAACTAACTTTGCACTAACAGAGAAACGTATTTTTAGTTAATTGTAAAAAATAACACTGTTTGCGAGTTGGTTTTTCCAATAAAATCCTTGTGAAATATATTTTTAACTATCGGAGAATTGTATTTTTTAGAGAGATACTGGTGGTCCTCTCACTGTCAATGAACAACTCGTAGGACTCGTCTCGTTTTCGGCTGGTTGCACAAGCACAAAATATTCTAGCGTGTACACATGAGTTCTATCATATATTGATTGGATGTATGAACATGCCGTATATAATAAAATAATTAACGAAATAAAGAAATTTATTTTATTACTTAATGACATATAGGGAAATCAATAATATATATCATTAAATGTTCAAATGTAAATATCATTAAATAAACGCTCTATATGTATTTTATATGTAATATATATCACGTTATTTACACAACATTTTCCTTATATTGTTTCAGAAATCAGATATTACATAATCTTATAAAGATCAATATTGTGCGATTACTTCACATATTCATATTTGTATTAAACTTTCAATTTACCGAACAAACAGCAGACGAGAATTTGCTTAGAGAAAACATACATTCGAATAAATTGCAAATGTTACATATATTCATCAATATGCTAGCAGTAAACTTATCTCAAAAGGAAGAAATAGATCAGTCAAAGCAAACCCATTTAATTATTCCGACAGCGTACTACAAGTGCGAGAAATTGTTTCAGAGAGATTAATGAACATTTCTCTTTAAAAATAGATGAAAGAACCATTTGTGCATTCGTTTCCTCGTGTCTTTATCTGATGTTAATTTCTACGGCCTATCTACGTATACACGTTGTATGAACGAAAGACTGATGCGTTTGTTACGATACATGTGTAAATGCTTCATAATATAGTATACATAGTGTCATTCTATTTTACGAAAGATAATAATAATAATTGTTAACGTGTATCAGAGAAAATCATTAATTTCCGAATTATTTCCTAGCAAACAAATTTTTATTGATGCAAAATTTCGGCTGGTTGCCGAAATTTCACATCAACGAGTTTATCAATTTTGCTAAGAATAAAAAACGTAAGATTTTAATTGATTTATAGCTGAGAAATTTGAGAAAATAAGATATCGCCAGATACT